CTCTCTCTCTCTCTCTCGCCTCTTCTCTCTCTATCACACACACCCCCAACGTTCAACATTACTCTCTCTATCTCCTTGCAGATTGACCTGCAGTGGATGGTGATACACTGCGACCCCTCGCGGCCGTTTCGTGAGAAATGCGACGAGATTCCGCGACCAGCGCCGGATGAGGAAGTCGGAGTACAGGTGAGTGGTGCGCCGCGTGACGCTGACGGCTGTTCGTGCGAAGCCTCTACGCGGCGGGATGACGTTGACGATGGCACGTGCGTTGTTCACGTGATGATGTTGGCGACGGCACGTGCGTTGTTTACGTGATGACGTTGACAGTGGCACGTGCGTTGACGTTGGCGATGGCACGTGCGTTGACGTTGGCGATGGCACGCGCGTTGACGTTGACGATGACACGCACGTTGACGTTGACGATGGCACGCGCGTTGACGTTGACGATGGCACGCACGTTTATGTTGACGATGGCACGCGCGTTGACGTTGACGATGGCACGCGCGTTGTTTATGCTGACACGAGATGGCTTAGGCGCAGCATTCCGCCACCGGATCCTCTTTCGTGGCGGCGGATTACTCCGCGTGCACGCATCCAAGGCTGTAATCCGACCGCGGAGTGTTTAGAGACGATAGCGCGCCCGGCATGCGTGTCGCGCCGCACGGCCGACACCGCCGATAAAAGCGCCGACGACGACGACGCCGCCGACACGGACGCCGACAACGACGACGTTTCTGACTAGTGTTACTCCGCTGTTCCCGGATGTACGTGTAAAAACGCTTGATCCCTCGCCTGAACATAACTGCGGAAACGCGTGTTCTCATTCATGAAAATAACTGGGAAACGCGTGCTCCCATCCCTAGACAGAACTGAAAAAACGCGTGCTCCCATTCCTAGACAGAACTGAAAAAACGCGTGCTCCCATCCCTAGACATAACTGAAAAAACGCGTGTTCCCATTCCTAGAAAGAACTAAGAAAATGCGTGCTATCATCCCTAGAAAGAACTGAAAAAACGCGTGCTCCCATCCCTAGACATAAC